CCGACAAATATTTGTTGAATTATAAAAAGGAGTCCAGAACATACAAAGGTAAATAAGACAGGACTTCTCCCTTAGGAACTCCAAACTTCTTACACATTTTGGCACATTTGCCTCTTATGGGAAATTTCAACCCACGAAAAACACTCAGCTAATGTAATAGCTACTTATGACCAGTGCAGCTACTAAGAGCCAAAGAAATTTGGCAGTGTACATTTAGCTGGATACTTGACTTTTCTTAAGTAAAAACCTGTCTAAAACACTAACAAGAGTTCTGTTTTAAAAGGCTAAAGTAGTGTCCTAGAAATACACACGCACACATACACACGAGCATGCAGAAAGGTCCCTAAGGGTTCTTGTCAATCACTTGAAGCACGAGTCCACACTGCCTAAGGCTGCTGTGGTTCATCAAAAGAAATGGGATGGTGGTGGGGTGCTCTATCCACTTCACCTATAAATAACAAGAACCAAGCACCTGGATGCAATGTTTGAGCCAACGCAAATTACTGCATTCTGGATTTTAGGCAAAATATTTGTGGTAGACGAAGAAGAAGGGAAACTAGGTGTGGCTGTGGCTGTGGGAAAGCCAGGGTCACCAAAAGAGGACAGAACTCTGGGTGTTGCGGAAGGGTGGTGAGCATCTTTTTTTTCTTTTGACACCGTCCCTGTTTCTGATATCTACAAAAGCTTTCTTGATAGGCCCTTCAAATGGCATTTCGGCTAAAGTCGGAGAAGAGGGCACCTAGGGCTGGGGCTCTGCAAAGTGCCCGCGTCCTGGGGACAACTCGGGTTCCGCCCCACGTGCCGCCCCTATTGTCTGCGGTGCGGAAAGGGCCAAGCCCAGGCGCTGGCTTCGGGGGTCTCTTTTTGGCAAGGACCGGGGGTGGGGGTGAGCGACGTCCCCGAAGGCAGCACCCAGGGGTCAGATGCTTGACTCCCAAGCGTCAGAGGAGGCAACGGTCCCCGAAGCAGCAATGACTGCGGTCCGGGCTGCAAATCGCCGTCGTGTGGTTGCTACTGGCAACCGAGCCTCCGCCGAGCGCGCACCCGCTGCCGCCGGCTGCAAGGTGGAGAGGTACATACGGGCTGGGGGATCAACGCCAGGGCCGCGCGCGGGACAATCCCTGCCCCAGCACCCCAGGTCCGTGCCTGCAGCGGGGTCACGCGTGGGGCCCCAGGGCTTCCGGGATGGCGGGGTTGTCTGATTCCCGCCAGAGTCAAAATAGCCGCGCCCTCAGCCAAAGCAGCACTGCGGCTCGGCGACCCCCGCCCCCGTCCGCCCCGAGGCTAGGGCCGAGCGCCCAGCCGCGGGGCTTCATGCGGGGAGTGGGAGCCGCCTGGGCGCGGACTCGCCTCGGCGCGGCCTTTGTTCTCCACTCAGGAGCCGCCTCACGCGACGGGGTTGGAGCCGACACCCGGCTCTGGCACGCAACGACTGGCTCCGACCGGTCCCCGGAGCTGCGGGCAGCGCCAGCCTCTCGTCGGACCCCGCAGGCTTCGCTCCCAAGTCCCCTCTTCCCAACCTGGCCTGGGAGGCGGGAGGCCCGGGAGGGGAATGGCCGGGACTCCGCTTCTCGCGACCCCAGGGCGGCTAGAATCTCCGCCCTGGGGAACCGACAACCGAGGGCGTAGCAGGGATTGGGAAAACCCGAGGCTCCACTGGCTCTCTCGCTGGCCATAGACAGTGAGGTTGGAGGACGCCGCCACTAGAGGCGCAGACCCGGGGGAGGGGGTTGCATTTGCCAAAACAGCGGTTGAAAAAAGAAAAAAGATCGTGCACGTGGACGAGCCAGCTGTGACGCTTCACACAACGTGCTACTGGAGGCCGGAATCCTCTGCCCAATGGCGACTCCTGCGGCACCGTGTGCATCGCGCGTGTAGCCCGGCGTGGCCGCTTTCGCTTCTGCACGGTCTTCCCGGTCCCTTCTTCCGAGGTCCATGTTCCTCAGGGCGCGCGTGGGTCAGGGAAGGCGCTGGTGCCCCTGAAGCGCCCGCGTGGGCCCCACCCTCGGCTGCGGTCCCGTGCGGGCATCCTGAGTCGAGGCCGCGGCGCCCTTCACCTGGTCATCCCATCATCGAAAGGGGGAAGTGGCCGTGGGGAAGCCCGTGACCCGGATGGAAAGCCACCCAGACGAACACACCCCCGGGGCTCTCGGAGACCGGCTGCGGAGAGTGCAGGCGAGGACGAAGCGCGGTCGCCCGCGGGTTTCCTTGGGTCCTCCTGCCCTCGCCCTCGCGCCGCGGTGTGCACGCGCCTCGGCCCCGCGTGTGCACGCGTGCATCAGAGGAGGGAGCCACGTCGGGACATGGCGCGGCCCAGCGGGCGCGGATGCTCAGCCCGGCCCCTACTCGGCAAGCTCCAGCCCGGGAGCCCTGCAGGGCCTGTCAATCCGGCTTTCAAATTTGGCGGGAGCCGGGTCCACCAAGCTGAGGGCGGTGCGAGGCGAGCGGCGCACGCGCAAAATGGCCTCCCGGCACCCCCACGGCCTGCGCTCGCTCGGGTAGAGGCCGAGTGTGCGGCTCGCGCCTCGGGGAGTGAAATTAAGGGAAAGGAGAAGGGACATTTACCCTGTAGCGTGCCCGGGCCTAGAAGTGCCTTCCGCCGCTGCCCGGAGGCCTTTCCACCCCGCACTGGGCATTTGGGGGACCTCAGTGGCATCCTCATCACCCTGGTCCTGCGTCTTCCCCGAGCGCCCCTCTTTGCGGGTGTTGGGATCCCTGGCCCTCTGCACCCAAGGCTAGCTCCTGCACACCCTTCTCTGCACCTGCAGGCACCCTTCGGTGCGTTTTCCAAACGCTCTCGCCCCAGTTTTGAAATTTTCGACGCGTTTCCCAGTTCGCAGTCTGCTGTCAGCCTGGATTCCAGCTGATGGCGTTGATGTTCCAACCTGCAGGAAGCTTGAAGTCTCACATTCACCCCGACGCGGAGGTTTCATGATGGCCCCAAATTAAAGCCGAGCAGCGATCTTATTGCAGTCGACGTGGCGAACCGCCTCCTGTTTTTGGAAGTTACTTGTGACCATATCTGGAAGTAGTATTTTCATGGCAAGGGTCAGAGGAAAGAATAATTTAACCCGGTGGAAGTTTTTATTGAGTATGTAACTATTTATTTGGAGGGTTAAATGGGATTTCGGGATGTTTTCCACTTGAACATCTTCAGGGCGATAAATGACGTCTGATGTCGTCGTCTGGATGATGACAAGTGATAGTCAAGTTCTTCATGTGACAAAGACCTCCAGAAATTACACACTAAGAAAAAGAAACTGATGCAAATAAAGGAAATCCGTTTCAGGAACCAAAAGAAGAAAAAACGTTTAAAAAATTAACTGCGGAAACAGGAAACATTCGACTATGTAAACATTTTCAGAGACTTTCATAATCGAAGCCCGGCAATCTTGAGATTTGCCAGGCGATCCTCTCGACCACGGTCTCCTGCCTCAAGTTTACTGGAAGACTGGACGTGTAACTTCTCTTCCTTATGTAGGACCTGCCCCTGTGATCCCAGTGAGTTCAAGGGATTTCTTTTTTTTTTTTTCCTTTTGGGTTTTTCTTGAAGTAGAGTTTTCTGAGCTAGTTTTAGAAATAATCACTTGTTGTGGTGTTTATTTTATACACGAAGAAAACATATTTAAGTGACATGAATGTATCTAACCCAAGAGCTTTTTAGGTTAGAGCCAGAGTCTGCTCTACACATTAGGTGTCATAAAGGTACAATTTTTGAAAAGGGTTTAATTAGCATATTGCTAGAAGACACAGAAGAACATAATGGAAGTTTATTTTATATGTAATTTGATCAAGAGCTTTTTGTTGTTTCAGAAGTAGGGAAGAGTATCTTCCATATAAGCACTATCAACTTCTGTCATTCCTGGTGCAACGGAACAAAGATTTATTTAACCTTTAGAATCCAAAGAGAAAATAGTTCCCTCATCCCAGAATTCCAAGATGAAGTTCCAAGTGCAGTGTTTCTGAAACCCATACCGTCTAAAAGTTATCATCTATGTGAAAAGACCAAACGTCCTCATTTCTTGCTGATTAATGCAAGTTGTATTACATATGGGTATTTAAGTTCCCATTAAGGTTTCAGAACACAACTTGTTCTTGAAAGGCCCACACATCGTGATGAAAAACACTACAAATAAAGTCTAATTCCAATCATTGGGGTACAGGAAAAGATGAAGTTCCAGCCAGTTTATCCTCCTGTTGCATTTTACCTCCAGAGACCCTAACATCTGCGCACACATGTGCCAACACAAAAGGTGGAAATGCAGTAATGTGGTTAACTAGTTAAGTCAACTGAAGGGCAACTTTGTCTTCTCAGAGCAATTAACGGCCGACAACAACAACGTAGAAAGCAGAAAGTACTTGTAAAGTGGCTTACAGTGTGTAAAGCAAGATAGATCACTATTGACACTATAAACACAGCCAGCCTGGGTTTTTTTTGTTTGTTTGTTTGTTTTCCATCTAAACTAGGTATCTGTGGACTCATTTTAGGCATTTTCTGTAGAATACTTGGTTAGCACCACCTACTTTGTATTCTAGGACCCAGGAATACTTTTTAGGAGCTAAAGTCCAAAAGGCCAACTTTTCAAGTACTCTGCTTTGGTTAGTTACAAAGTTGGGAGCTTTGATAGGAGTGTTAAGGTGCAGATTTTTAAAATGCTAACTTAGGAAAGGTTTGAATCATAATGGTAAGAGCTTAATAACTAGTTAAGACTGCAAACCATCGTAATCTTTGTTTTATTAAAAGACAGGGTTTTTTTTTGGCTGAAATATCCTTTTAAGCTTAAGCAATTTTAAAATTGAGTAAGGGTAAAAAGCCTCTTCCCAAATACAGTAAATGGCAATGTTTTCAAGTATGATAAATACTAAGTAGGCTATAAATGCACCTGACATTTTAACAAGCATTTTCAAAAATAAGTCCATCACAGAGGTTGTCTTTTGTCCTAGACAGCATCATCAAAAACTTGAGAAAAGCTTAGAAAAATGAGTTAAATTCACCCAAATTGGCAAACATTGGTAACCTTTACTTCAAAGATTGTAAATAAACAGATACATCTTCCACTGGGCTCTCAAGCAATATACAACAAAACATGTACTCCTTAGCAACACCATCTGAAGACAGCAATGTATTCTCCTTAGGTTTCACCCTTTGTAGTCCACTATAGGGTTTCCAAAACTTCTGCACATTGTGCTTTTCATACCAAATTTATATTAAAGATCTTAGCTATTTTCTAAATGAATATCCTTTTTATTGGATTTTTCCAATTAAAAATGAAATTTCATTTTACATCTATAATTAGAAACAACACATACAATGGTACTGTACAAATTTAGGTTAAAATAAAAATATATTTTGTGGCTTCATAAAACATTTACTGAATCTTTAAAGAAAGCAGAAGTAACAGCGATATATGTAAAAGTAATGATTTAATGGCTATAAGCAGGACAAAGCAATAGAATTGTGCTTCTTTTGCAGATTGGAGACATTGAAATGTTTAGCTACAATTTCCCATACAAACATGAAACAATATTCTTTATATAAACATCCTCACAAATAACTGATGGGTGATGCACACACACCAACTCCGACCAAGGCAAAACAAACTGAGAATTTATGGGGTCATTCATATCTGAGCTCAACACGTTTGCTCTTAAAAATACCTGTAGAAATCCATAATAAATTGCTTCTATTCCCAGACATTAGAGAGACAGCTGATTTAACTGTTGAAGCAACTCTTAAATCTGAAATTATTACTATACCACATACTAAAATAATTGTAGATAAAATGCCTTCTTCCAGCAATTAGCTGGTTTATTTAAAAATCTACTTTAGAATTCCAGAGATAAATAAGTACATGAAAATCCATCATAACCAATGGAAAATTAAGACCCTATTTCCAATTGTCTTAAAAGTTTTTTTATGACAACATTAATTTTAAAAGTATAGCAGAAAAGTCAGAACTATGATGAATTTGCCAATTGCTTCCAAATGGGAAATGTGAAGTTAGTCATACACGCAAAACACACAAAATGTATGCTGGTAAGGCTCAACATAGTAGGTATAGTATGGGTATCTGTAAAGGTCGAACAATTCGGAGAATTTTAACAACCATTTCTGGGTGCATGAAACACAGTATTTTTATAGTATTTATAAATATATCATACAATACTGTTTCCTGTTATGTCATATACCAATATGGCATTGTACAACAAGCAGAATGCCATCTGATTCTTACAAAAGCGAATCATTTAAGCAAGTCAGTGAAATAAACGGTTGTACCCGCTTTTAGGCATAGATTGTAAAACTGAAGTTTTCTTTGATCGGTTTTGTGTAGCAACAGAGAAATAAAAATCAAACAGGAATTAAAATGGCTAAATATGCAAGGATTTGTTATTCACAGTGACATGGCTACATAGAATACATTATTCTATGCTTATTCTTTTCATTTGTTGAATTTCAAGATAAAAAGCACTTGTTTTCTACAGGTTCACAAAACAGAACAACAAGAACAATAAAAGAGAATGTAATGTAGGCGTTAGTTGAGATTAACAAACTATGGCCCATGTTTCTACCCACTGCAGACCATTTCCCAATCCAAACAATAGTTACAGAAACCATTTCACATCTTTCCTAACACAGAAAAAAATCTTGCCTGCCTTCTCAGAATCCAATTCTTTACAGAAAAAAACCCTTTCTTTTCAATTAACATCCATATGAATATCACATCTAGTCCATCTTTCATAGCCAAATTTAATGTCACTACAAAAGAAAGCAAATTGGACGACAGTCACATGTATTAGCATCTATAAAGCTGTAATGGATGAAGATATCTAAATCAGGGGGTGAAATTTTCTTTCCTTAGCAGTCCCAGGACTCAACCAGACGAAGTTGCTGATGACCCATTTATTGATGATTTTCGAGGTCTACTGGCAAAGGAAGATTGGTGGTTACCACTGGGGCTGTTGCTGGTTCCATTCATAGTACTGGAGATATGAGGAAACTGTGGATGAGGAGACTGTACTGGAGTGCTGGGGCTGGGCAAACAGGAGGAGGTAGAGGGCACACCTCCTGCTGGGCTGTTGGCCTTGTCACTCCCAGAGTCACTTTCCAGTTCTCCAGCATTTGTCAGTCCATCTCTCTGGTGACTGATCTTCATTCTTTTACAAGTAGGCCGAACTCTGTATTTCAAAGGAAGTGGGCCATTCTACAAAGTTAAAAGGAAAGAAAAAAAAATCATTCTTAACTCTACATGCAGTTGGTCAATGTAACCTATGGGTAGACAGCTACTTACTCTTCTCCAGGTATAAATGTAGGCAATGTCCATTAGTGTGTAATAATCCTTTAAAGGTTCTTCCTCATACATGACATCAATCTATTGAAATATAGTTCAGGTATTCAGTGACAAAAGAAAAAAGGTAAATCCACATGTTTTTTGTCATCTAAATGAAACCCAAAAATGCTTTCAAAAACATTTTCATCAGGCATTTGGACTAAGATAAGAATTCTTTTTAAAATTTAAGTGAGGAAAAGTATTTCTAGAAATTGTTGGGGATTTGTTTTCATAGCATAACATATAATTCATCCAAAGTACTTTAAGAGCTGTCTTAAACTTTACCATTAAATATAAGATTTTCTTCTTGTTACTTTTTTAGGTCCAGAATCCAAAAAGAAAAATTAAAAACTAAAAACTTACACAAAAATGCCTGACAATTATAAAGGAGATACCTGGAAAGTATTTGGTATGTCCATTTTACTTCTGAGGAACTTCCTTACGTGCATCACAGTCATGGCTGCCGGGCACCGTAGGTATCTTTTATCACTCACCTATGAGGACATTTACAAAGTAATTTTCTTCCACTGTCTTAGCTTTCAGATAAGAAAATTTCAACTGCCTGTTATAAGGGTACTAATGGCCACACCAAATGCAGCCGAACTCTCAGCCAGTCACACTTTGAATTTATTATTATTTTAAGTACTAAGTGAACAAATTCTTAACATACAGTAAATCAAGTCTATTACCATGTACTATGTAAAATGATTTGAAGAACTGCAACCATATATAAAGTAAATTCTGATGGTTAAATATCACACGTGGCTCCCTCTTACACATCAGCATCATCTGACCCCAGAATATTCTAAAGCACACTCTAAAGCCTCTCCAAGTCCAGAATCCAAGGCCTCCTCCTTGCATTTCTGTAATACAGAACATACCTCCTCTTTAGACTTCTCCTTGTTTACTTTCCGATCCAATCTAAGAGACAGAACATTCATTGGTAAAATGAAGTATCAAATAACCACATTAGCATAAAACAGATTTCCTAAGAATTACCTGTTCTGGTCAGAGAACTCAATGGATAAGCTTATTATCTCATCGTCCGCTATAATTCGCTTATCTTCATCTGCCACTTCCCCTCTATCTTCATTAGAGCCATTGGCAGCTATCAAGACATGTTGAAATTCAATTTTTAAAAAATTGAACTTAATAAAAATATTTTATATTTAAACAGAAGGGGCCATTTACAGTAAACTCAATAAATTAGTAGATAAATGTTCCTCCACAAATAAGATGTCTTCCCCCCTTCTCCCCATTTACCATCTGCTGAAGGGTGAGCTGCGTAAAAGTCTCTTCTCCTCTTCATCTCATCTGAAGGGGGTGGGAAGGGAAGGGTTAAAAATTTGGCCTAACATATTTAAAAAAAAAAAATCAACAAATTTTAAAAATTCAATTACACAAGTTACTCACTTTTGAAAAGCCCTGGAACTAATTTATACACAATATCCTGAAGAGTTTTATCTGACCTGAAAAGGAGTAAGAAAAGGACATCATCAATTAATATGGCGCAAACTAGCAATATCTGAAGTGTTCTGCATTTGCTGTGCTGTGTTTTACTGGCTGTGAAACTGTGTATAAGTACAGTGAAAAGAGAACAATGAGAAGATCTCTATGGAGCAAACACTTCACAGGCAGTAATAAACTCTTCATATTTGTTAAGTCAAGGGAAGTGGGCCTTTCAGGGTACCAACTTCTTTAATATGAATAAAGATAATATGGACACAGTTAAATTTTGTTTTTGTTTTGTTTTAGTAAAAAATTTTATTCTCTGTCATTAAATCAAAAAAGCAATGCTAAAAAAGAATAATTCTGCTTTAAAGGATAGATCAGACACCTTTAAATCAGTGGAATAATACTGAGCTATTACATAATTAGCTATTATGTAATTACTATTATTAGTCATCACAATAATGGTGACTTATTAAACTTTGGTCAACATTAAAATGACGAGAAATTAAAGGTCTGCCCTTCATAAAGCACACACAACAGGTGAGGACTCAAGAATAAATTTCCTGTGAAGCAAAAACAGCAATGCCTTCCCTGTTGAATTATACAATTCCAATAACAATTTTCACTAAGAAATTTCAACATTTTCCAACCTTATATTCAGTAGTGGTCTGGTTTTGTGAACTTGGACATCACAGATAGGACAATACTTGCTGGTCTCCAGATAACGCACAATACATGTTTTACAAACTAGAAGTAAACATATAAAGTTTTTGTAAGTTTAGAAAGTAGAGGCTACAGCAGTAATATTGTCAGAACTAAAAATCAAGAGGATGCAAAATGATAAAGGCATTTCTCCAAGAAAATAAAACACTACTTGTAACAAAATTAGTAACAAAAGCCAGTAAATATAAAAGGACTCCCACAACTTTATACCAATATTCCCAAGGACTGGGACATGTCACTGGTTTTAAGGATGAACTGTGACATACAAAGGACACAGGCTGAATACTTACAGGAATGTAGACATTCTATTATGGTGGTGGCATCAATAAAGTACCCTCCACAGAGCACACACATTAGGTGGGGATTTAGCTCAGTGATCTTGATTCTAGTTGTTCGATGCATTTCTGCCTGATAAAAGATCCTGCAAGACAGAAGTATTGGCCATAATTCAAAAAAAGACAATCAAGGTATCTCCCCAACCCCTAGTAACCCTATACTCTGAAACGCTAAGTAGGTTCATAAAATTCATTTAACAGTGTACAGCTGGATGGTCCCAACGTTCTCCACGGAAGGAATGTACTAATGAGATCAAAATAGCCTCCACTGAAATGGTGTAAAAGCCAACCAAATGTACTCCTGGCCTCTCAGGTCATCCCGGGAGGAGATAAAAAGGTCTGGCATGGGGGCTGGGGCTGAACGGATTTGGGTCTCCTTCCATTTGTCCTGCTCCGAAGCCCAGGGCAGATGCCAGGCAGTCCCCGCAGGTATCTAGCAGCCACGGGGCTGATTTCAAGTCTCTGAATTTATTAAATTCATTGTGACACTTCCTCCGGGTCTTCAGCCCCAAAATCACGGGACCTTGTTTGGCCGCTTGGTGGGCAGGCTCTGGTGGCTTCAGCCCTACAAAGGAGGGCAACTCTGCGGTTCCTGCATCCCTGGCACTTCCGGACCGGTAGCGCGCAGCAGCACCCCACAGCAGCACCCCACAGCAGCACCTAGGGCCGAGCAAGGAGCCAGGGCGGGACGTGAGGGCGGACCCCGCGGCGCCCAGCTCTTCTCCTCCGGATTCGGAACTCGCCTCGGTCGGGTTTCCATAGCAACTTACACTTACACTTGGCATCCGGCCACCGCTGCTACTCCTCCCGGGGCTGCCGAGCCGGCTCGGAGGCGTGCGGGGCGCGGCGGGGGAGGGGCGCGAGAGGACGGCACCCCGCAGGCAGGCACCGGTGGGAAGGGCGCACTCCCCGCCTGCCTTCCACCAGAGTTTCTTATCTGGCCTCTTTGGGCTTGTCCTGTTAGCGATCCCAGGTCAGAAACTCCACGAGAGCTCTTTTGAGAACTGCCAACAGTGCACTTAGCCCCAAGCCGACAAAGCTCAAGTTGCAGAGCCGTTTATTGAACCGAACCTCTAAGGCTTCCTTCTGTAATAAGTTCTTGTGTGGAGAAGAGCCAAGCAAAGTTTTTGGAAGGGCTGAATACTGAAATTTGTTTTACAAGAGGAGAAGGAGGGGCACAGCTTCATTTGAATAAACTATGCTGGAGGCAAGAAAAACCTACTTTAATAGGTAGGAATAGTAACAATATGTAAAGAGCCACATGACCAGTCCATCCCCAAAGCTAAATGCAGAGGAATGACAGAACAGAAAAGCAAATGTCATTTTCTCACCTAACTTTTATAGAAAACTCCTAAGATGAAGACAGACCCAACAGAGATCATTTTAGAAAAGTCCTGGTGGAGAATTGTCAGCAGCACCCGAGTACCATGAGGGGAGTCAACTCCTAGGTTTGCTGCTAAAGCAGTGTTTCCCAACTGCCACCCCTTTCTTCATTACAGAATCTGAACCAACACTGGGCTTTTGAAGTACATCCTCAAAGCTCTCTAAGATGGTCATCTAGAAACTTGTGAAATTTGCAGTAAAATGCACCCGAGGCTTTCATTCTACAGAGGTTTTAATGCAGAAGAGGAAAATACCAATGGACATACCTCAATGCCTGAAATTAACGTTGACTACTACTAACAAATGGCCCAAACCCAAAGAAGCCTCTTTTGTGAAAGTGACCCAGTGGCAACCAGCGACCTCAACCAGAAAACTTCTTGTAAGTCCTCAGTTATCTTTGGATTGCTTGTTTGGAATACTGTCAAAAATAACATAAATCCAAGTGGAAAAGCAGAGGGGTTGTAGATGTAGCAGGGTCCCTGAAGAGTGGCAAGATAACAATTCAATCACTTAGTGAGTAAAGACCAGCCTGCTTGGTGCTTCAGGAAAACTCTCCCGTGAAACCACAGAAGCTTTCCTAGAAAGATGGTCAGCGAGGTCACCTCGGCCCAAGAAACCGTATCCTACTAACACCACCCATCAAGAAGCTCACCAAAGGGCTCCAATAAAAACAGCTGCCTTTATTTTCTTCTCTTTCAGAAAACACACTCTTATTACACAAACACAAATACCCACAGCTCAATAGGTTATCTACTAGTTGTCTGAACGTTTCAGTCACATGGACTTGACCAAATCCTTTCAAATTCAATTTCTCTAAATTCACACGACTCTCCCACCTCCGTTGACAATTTGGCATCATTACTGCTCTCATTCATAATGCTAATAAATTATCACTGTGTTACTAATACAAGAATCAGTTCTTAATCTGTTTATCCTACTGGATAGCACAGACAACCTAATGAAGACTTTCCGGTGATAAGATTTAAGAAACAATCTCCTGCACCACAGAAACTGTCTGTAAGCCAGTAAAAATACAAGCTTCCAGGGTTGAAAATACTCAATAGTTAAAGCTTGCCTTTAATACGATTACTCAGTTGGGGCTGTCAGTTTTTAGTTGGAGGCCTAACACCACTAACGTCAAAATGAAGAAAAACAGAAGCAAGTTCTTATGTTAACAATCAGCTTGACTACAGCAACCTAAGAGATGCAAATGAACTCCATAATCCCAGCTGGGGCTCACAGCTCAAACTCAAGTACTGGTAAAGTTGGGGGTAACTTGACTCACAGGGAGAATTTTGCCCATTTGGACAGTTAATATCTATCCAAGAGCTTAGTGGTAGAGTATTAATGGACTTATAAAATTCATCGAAGTGCTGAATTTTCTTACCAAAGTTTGGATATGATCATATGTGAGTGTATACACACACACATAATCTTTCACATGGCTTTAAAGATACTCTTACAAGACTATAATTTGCCCTCGTAGGTTATTTCAAACATCTCTGCACCTTGGAGGGAGATACGTGGAAATAAACTCCTGTGTAAAAAAATTTTACCAAAAAAGAAACCAACCTCTGAGAAATTCTGCTTAACCTCTCATCAGTCTACTAAAGACCCAAATGTTACTATATAGTCTCCTAACTTGGCTACACAACGTATGGGCAACAATTTGCATCCTCCAAGTATCAAGTTTGTTTCCAAAAAGTTGGGAGGGGGGTAGGATGCCTATAAAAGTAGCTTTAAGCAACAAGCGTGTAGCATGTCACCAACTTACATTTGCGTAAATATGCCCGCGATTTTGCCTACTTTAAGGGACGGGGTGAATGCTCGATTCATTTTCGGATATTGAACCATGACCACTAAGCCCACTAAATCCTTTTATTTTAATTGGGAGTCATCAAAGTCTCTCTTCTTGTTTATTTCCAATTATTAACTGTAAAGCTCTGGGGAAAAGCTCTTGCTCTCTCGCTGTCAAATCCAAATGACTACGTAAACACGAGCAATCAACGTTTTGGGGCTCCTTTCCCAAAGCATCCCCTTCCAACAGGACCTGCGCTGACATTTGGCAAAAGCGATGAACCCCAGTGGACCCAACTCCTGGGTGTCGGCGCACCCCACAGGAGAGGGCGAAGTTGTAGCGTCTGCGAGGGCATCAAAGGGAAGGGGGGAAGAGGAGAAAGGAAACCTCCGGCTAGCCAGCGTCCAGACACCGTCCTCACTCCGAAACAAAGCTCAAAACGTGCAGCGCCCACCGCCCGGGAGCTCGTCCCACGCGCGACGGGAGCCAGGTCCGAGGCGCTCAGCCCACACCAGCCACAAAACTTTACCCTTTTCAGCACAAATGCTCAAGACCTCGGGAACGACTGGGAACCGCCATCTTACCAGCCCTCCAATTTCACACAAGTGTCCCTCCAACTTAAGTTAATAACATTGGTATCGGGGCTCCCCGCAGCCTAACACCCGCCGCCGCGGGACCACGGTCCCCCCTGGTGTCTGTCCCTATAAGATGGGGG